TTTTGATTCGTAATCGAGGATAAATGTAGATGCTATGAGCCACAGCAACCACTTACCATCAGGTGGACTGTGTGCTCGTTTGTCACCCTATCCTTTAAAAAAAGAGTTCAATCAGTTAGTAAAATATGATCATTCATAATTACAGCCTTTCTTTAAATAAATGCTTTATCTATCTATCTATATGTATATCCTTTCAAAAGTCCACTATTGAAAATATGTATGCCTCTCCCAAATATTTCATAATTTGCCATAGCTGCCAAGCTTGGCTGGCAAGTTGACAATCCTAGTTTTTATTATGAGTACTTATCAGAAAAATTGTGCTGCTGATCTCATGTTTAATTCTCCTCTATCTCCACTTACGAAACCCGGGATGATATGGGGTAGTGGAATCCATAAAAATAGTTTTATTCAAGACTAAAATTGTTTTTATACGACATAGATTACAGGTATGAGGCTGCCACTCGAGAACCTTTCGGATACCGGTGGGTAAAATGAAGGGCGGCCACCTAATAGATAGAGTGTGACCGTGCTTTGCTGGGCTGTAATGATGATGATGATGATGAACATAGATTACAAGTAATACTTGAAATTTTGAAGATGCTTCTGCCCATCTCCTGTTTCAGTGTTCCTCTGTGGCTTCTTACACTACCCATAGAATTGAAGGTAGTGGATTTTTAAAACAAAGAATTTTCTATCCACTAGGTTTTCTATTGCCGCCTCTACACGGTGGACTTTTGTATAGCTTGTAAATTACTCTTCCTGTGCTGAATATTAATACATTTATGTAATAATATTAAATAGAGGAGAGATTCCTCTATTAACGCAACTAATATTGTCATTAATTGTAAATATCACTTGGAGTGGCCAAATAAGCTTATTATGATTACGTAAGTCGCGTATTACGATAGTAATCGAATATGGAATCTAAACTAACGAATTGATATTTCTTGGTCCGTACCATTAACTATTAGTCTATTGTCGCTTCGAATTTATATTCTTATGTCTTAATTTCAGTAAAATTATACTAATGTCTTAATGTAACGACGCTAATGCCCTAGTTTTATGAGAGCTTTTATATAAATTGCCACAACATTAGACCTTGGAATGCTTATTATATACCTCACTTAAGTCTTAAAGGATGCGAAATATAAATTATTACCATAAATATGATATGATACCTGCAAATGATTATATTCAATGACGATTACCGTATAAGATGTAAGATAACGGTATTACGGTGAACGGTATTATATAACATAACATGTTATAAAACGTTATATAACATGTTTCAGTAATGTGGAGGCTGAATGTTATAAAACATGTTATATAACATGATCGGCATAAAGACAAACGACAATGTCATATAACATTGTTATATTGCATTGTTATTCTAATGTGTACAGTATTGTTATATGTTACAATGTTGAAAAACAATGTTACATAATGTGGACGTGTTATAAAACAAATATTACACAACATGTTACTTAATCTGTACGCACCCTTATAATTAAAGAGTGCGCAGTAATCGTTAACTGAGATCTGCGATTTAAAGGAAAATATATTATCTGCTAAGTGCTTCGCGAAATAGTAAAAATATTTTATAAATTGTAATTATTTATTGTGTATAAAGTTTTTTCTTTGTACACATTGTTCTCTCTTTCTCTCTTCGTAATATATATGTCGTAGTCCGATTGTTGAATTGGGATATCGTGATATGCCTGGGTAATCCATAAAATACCACTATTTCACAATTTGGTGGATAATCTATTCGCCATATCTCTTTATGCCTAACTAATATATTATACAAATATCCGTGAACCACCCCAAACTACAACATAAAATACTGACCATGATATTGCTCGACAGGCGCTTTCGTACTTTGACAAAGTTTGTTGACTTTCCGAAATTCCTAATCGCACTGTCGAGGATATAAATTGTCGGTAAATATTATCATTTAATACAAATTATTGTTGTAAATATTGTCCATTTGATGGAATTTAATTTTAAAGGCCAGCAACGCATCTGTGATTCCCTCCCAGCTGTTCATGGGCGGTGGTCGTCACTTACCATCAGGTGAGCCGCATGCTCGTTTGCCCCCTCTCCTATAAAAAAAAATATATTAGAAACAAACCAATCCTATTTGAAAAGATGATAGACTGAATACTAACAATTTGCGTTGCAAAATTATTGGTTTCGGATGGGTTTCGAAACTACGAGTATACGTTATTACTATATAGGTAGGTACTCATGCCAGTAAGACTTGCGATCTTAATACTAAAATTTAAATATTCATTAATCCTTAAAAGTATACTGCTGGACATGGAGTTCTGAGAGACGAGTTGAACGAGTTACTGACCGCACGTCTGTATACTTAAAATTAAGTTTAAAAATCATATCATGCAGTAAAACCAGTGTTTATGCAGTAACTATTTATCAGTGTAATCCTTACAAAATTATCTATCGTTTTGTGTATGTGTCAGTTCGGAATTTCAAGTGATAGTGCGTAAATAAACGTTTAATAACTCATACAACTGTGTTTTTGTGTTTTAACATTAGATCCGTGCCGTATCACCTTGAAAGTTAAACCGGTCACCCGCCCAATAACTGACCAGTGTGTGACGACACCATTTTGCTTTTATTGGCTATTTTCGCTGCAATTGCTATCGGTCGCTTGGTATAGCGTTTCAACGTAGTGATTTTAACCATAAACGGTGGATCAAATCCCCAGATCTCAGTAGCTTTTTGCGCTTTTTTTTTTTGTTGCAGTTTGCTTATTAATTGATATTTGATTTTTTCTCTTTTTTTTGTTCTTTTTTCTTGTTTGTTCTTAATATAAGTATAATCATAATGCCGAATAAAATTGATTGTGTTGGTTGCCGAAACCCAATTGTGGCAAAGAAACATCTTCAATGCAGTATGTGCCAGCAGCCCTACGACCTCCAGTGCGCCAACATTAAATTGAGTCTTTTTAATAGCATGACAGGGGATCAAAAGGCTAAATGGAAATGTGTGTTATGTATTAGTAAACAGCCGAAAACCGATAATACAGATACCCCGGTACGTGTGGGTGTAGAAGGGGTCAATAGAAATAGAGGTGCAGCAGCAGTGAGTCCGCAGGACTCACAAGACGACGACAGAGCGCAGAGTGAAACTATACCAGCAAAAGACCTACAATTGCTTATGATGGAGGTACGACAATTCAAAGAGGAAATGAGAGCCACACGTCTCCAAATGGAATTACTGAATGGCACTTTGGCTGGTTTAGTGCTTAGAATTGATGAATCCGATGGAAAAATTGAAAAGCTAGAAGCCTGTGTGGGCATCCTGGAAGGTCGTCTTGCTGATAGTAGTACGTCGACCGATGTAGGTTCTTTGCTGGATACAATTGAGCAACTAAAGTGTGATCTCAATGAGCGTGATCAGGAACTATTGTGTAATGATATAGAGATTACAAGCATCCCTGAAGAGAGGGGTGAAAACTTAATACACATTGTCACCACTCTGGCCGTGAAGTTGGGTGTCAACCTTTCTGAGAACGATTTAGTCAGCGCCACACGGGTGGGAAGGGTATATATGTCCTCTGAATCTGTGCCGGAACCGCGCCCGAGGCCTATAGTCGTGAAGCTCGGCAGACGTGCTCTTAAGGATCAGGTGCTGACGGCGACTCGCGTTCGTCGCGGCATCACCACCGAGGGCACCGGGTTATCTGCTCCGCACCGCCGATTCTACGTCAATGAGAGACTAACGAAATTCAACCGGCGGCTTTTTTGGCAAGCTCGTGAACTCGGAAGTAGACTGGGCTGGCGGTTCATTTGGACAAGGGACGGTAGGATATACGCGCGCCGGCACCAGGGAGCTGAGTCCCCGCGTCAGCGTATTCGTACGGAGAGGGACTTGAGCCGGGTTTTTGGGACTGATGCTGTTAGTGGATCTCTTATCAAAAATTATTAATTGCAGCTGTATTTTTTATTATTTATATGGTATTACTTTAATATACATTTGTTGGATCAAGCTATTATCATGGGTTAAACAATATCATTTATATAGTACCTACTGTTGTTATGTTATGTTATTTGTTAGCTGTATCTTCTACTGGTTATTTTTTAATTGTCTCAAAATTTTAGTCAATGCATTTTCATCATTTTTGTATCTTACCGCACTAGAATCACAAAATATAAATAAAAGGCAATGTAATGTAACTTATACTTTGTTAAATGACTTGTTTAAATGTTATGATGGAATTCGTGATACATTTTCAACCTTCTTTTATCATAATTATGTATTAATATATGTGTTTTGTTTATTAGTATTGTATGGGTATTGTGTGGGCGCTGTTGCAGCGACAACAGTTAACCGATATCGAGAAAAAATGCAGCGCAATATGACATGTCAATCTCAAAACATTTTCATCACACTTATCCTGCAGTCTAGTTTATTTAGTCGTCGGTGTTCTTTTAAAAATAATTTATTTTGTTTTTTAAGTTATAATAAAATCGCAATCAAAGTTATTTAAGTTGGGTCTTTACAATGCGGGATCACTCAATACGGGACATGATAATTTTCTTATTGCTATGAATCGTTATAGCCCAGATATAGTTGCGATTAACGAATCATGGATTCAAAGTGGACAAGAGGCGCGTGCGCCGGCCGTGCCCGGCTACCGACTCAGAGTCACCCCACGCCCGCTACATATGCGCGGCGGCCGGGGGGGTGGACTCGCTTTTTATATTAAACGCGACGTCAACGTGAGATATTTGACCAGGCCTAATGAGCTAATTGAGCAGATGTGGTTATCGACTCGTGTCAATGGTTATTGTGTTGCTATAGGGACTGCGTACAGACCACAATGGATCAATATAGATGTATTTATAGATGCCATAACGGATTCCATTAATTATTTTTCAAAGTATGATTTTATTGTATTGTTGGGAGATTTTAACATTAACATGCTTGCGGGAAGTAATAGTAGTACTGTCAAACTGACTCAATTCCTTGACTACATGAACCTCCGTCAACTTGTCAGTGAGCCGACTCATTACACTTCGTATACTGAGACTCTGATAGATCTTGTATGTACTAACGCACCAGTTCGCGATGTCACTGTTAATAATATAATTGGTTCCAATGGACACGCAATGGTTAATGTTACTCTGTCATTAAAAAAGGTTATAATCCCAACTAGAACTTTTAGTTTCAGGCCCATTAATAAAATAAATTTAAATGCATTTAATAATGATTTATATGCAATCAATTGGGACGATGTAACTGAGTTACCTTCAGTAGATATGATGGTGGAAAAGTTTAATTCAATGATTCTCTCTCTCTTTGATAAACATGCAGCAGTGAAAACAGTAACTCTAAAAAACAATTATTCACTGCCGTGGGTAACCGATGTCTGCAAAATGATGATCGATGAGCGTAATATGGCTCACGATGTCTATCGAAAATCCGGATCAGACGAACATAAAAAATATTACAAGGAGCTTAAAAGTCTAGTTTTAAAAAGTATTTCACAAGAAAAACGGGCCTACTTCAATAGCTTAGTTAATTCTCAAGCTAAAAATAGCAAAACGTTTTGGAAAAATTTGAAGGAAAAAATTTTGGTTGACCCCTCGAAAGACAAATCCTTGCCTCCCCATTTCAATGACCCAAACAAAATTAATGATCACTTTTTGAATATTCCGGGAGACAACGTAGTCTCCAATGCAGACATGTTATTTTTTGAACATAATAAATTCAATACAGAGGTATTTAAATTAGCTCCCGTAGGTGCAACAGATATTTCTAAATATATAATGTCCATAAAATCGAACGCTGTTGGACACGATGGAATTAACAGAGATATGATCTTACTCTCTCTTCCTTGCACTCTGGATGCAATCACGGCTATAATTAATAAGTCAATTGTGACTGGTATAGTTCCTAATAAGTGGAAGGAGGCACTAGTGACCCCTATACCCAAAAATGAAAACCCAGTCGAGTTAAAAGATCTCAGGCCCATCAGCATTTTGCCATTCCTTGCTAAACTGCTGGAGAAAGCTATTTGCGAACAGTTAACTAAATTTGTTGAAGCGACTAACATCTTGCCTCAGTTACAATCTGGGTTTCGCAAAGGATGTGGCACAGCGACTGCTTTAGTCGATGTCACAGACAACATATTAGCTGAACAAGATTCCGGTCACAGTACGATTTTAACGCTATTGGACTATTCCCGCGCTTTCGACTGTCTAAATATTCCCCTGCTGCTTGCTAAGCTGTCATATTATGGTTTAGACAAAAATTCGGTCAAGTGGTTCAGTAGTTACTTGATTAATCGGTGCCAGTCAGTAAAATTGGTAAAGAGTGATGGGTCTACTATACGTTCTCACCCTAGGCTTGTTAATCGTGGTGTTCCCAGGGTTCCATACTTGGTCCACTTCTTTTTATAATTTACTGTGCTGACCTTGTTAAAGTTATAAAATATTCTATGTACCACTGTTACGCTGACGATGTGCAAGTATACGTGTCAGCCTCACCAGATAAGTTACCACAAGCTGTGACACGGCTTAATGATGATCTGGACAGGATTGCTGACTGGTCCATGCGGAATGCTCTTGTTTTAAACCCCTCAAAGTCAAAATATATAGTCATGGGCACAAAGGCGCAAATAAGTAGAATTTGTGGTGAGCTAGACGTTAAGATTAAAGGTACACATATATTGCGCGTGGATGAAGCCAAAAACCTTGGTATAACCTTCGACAGTAATCTTAGATTTGAAAATCATGTCCTTAATATGGTAAAAAACTGTTTTTATCGTCTAAAGGTATTATACCATATCCGTGACCAACTATCTGTACCGTCGCGCATTACTCTTTGCGAGTCATTAATTTTATCTCGGCTTAACTACGGAGATGTTGTTTATGGACCTCGAATTTTCAGCAAAACAAAACGACTAATACAGCGCGTGCAAAATGCATGTTGTCGGTTCTGTTTTGATGTCCCCCCCAGAAGTCACATTACTCCTTTCTTGAACACTGCTTCCATGCTCAACATGGACTCACGTAGAGAGCTACATTTAGGAGGGCTTGTTTTTAATGTCATTAAGTTTAAAAAACCAGAGTACCTGCATGTAAAGATAAAATTTGCTAAGCAAAATTCCGGAAAACAATTGAGGTCCATAAGATCAGCACTCCTGTATCACAGCCATAAAACAGCGGCATTTACTGGTAGTTTCCGATATATGGCAACGAAGTGTTGGAATAACATCCCACCACCAATAAGAAATCTTAACACCAATTACAATTTCAAAAATAAATTCAAAACATATCTTCTACATAAACAAAAACAAGGTATTCCCAAACACTTTGTTTGCCAGCTATAAACCACGGTATTTTTTTTTGTTCCTACTAACTCATCATAGCTGTCTAAGCCTTTTTGGTACTACTTTTAATTTGTACGCAAACTTACACACTTACACGCCCCTTCAGTAATTTTGACTAAATTAAACCCAGGATGCAAATCGTAGGGCTAAAAGGACACATCTTTCAAATATACATATTTACACTGATTAACTATTGTGCTCATTTTCTTCTCGTCATCTCGAGGGTAATAGCTGAAAATCAGTGTTTGCTCTCTGAGCAATATTAATCGCTGAGCTAGGACCCATTTGTCAAACTGCAACACACATGTACATTTAGATTTTAAGTTTTTGTAAATAATTTTTTTCGTAATATGTTACTTTATACTTAGTTTAGTTACTGAATTTACGTGTGTGATTGGAGAAACAAATAAATGCTTTATCTATCTATCTATCTATCTTCTGCCGATGTAGGATGATGTAGTGTGAACGCTTCTATTTCACAAAATGGCGAATAATCTATAAGTATTATTAAGTATTACTTTAATAAATTGGCCACAAAAACTTTAAGTAATCGCTTAAAGATAACAATAGTTTGTGACTCACGTATATGCAAAGGTAGGGCATTCCAGAGCTTAATAGACTGGACAGTAAAAGATTTATTGAAAAATGATGTATTGTGAGTTGGCACACTTAAAATGAATTTTCTAGAAGAGCGTAAATGTTCCCCCGGAAGCCCCACAAAATTAAACTTCTCCTTTAGATAGGAAGGATCTATCTAACCCGGAGCGTTCCAGGATAGTGGAGTCCCTCAGCCACATCCCAAAGAGGAACCCGAAGCCAATTTCGCCGAGCAAGGAGGCTGCACGGTCAAACCCATCGTATCTGAGCATACGAGTGGGTTGGAAGCGACGCCCAAGCCCCAGCGGCAGATGAAGTCGGCGAGAAGGCACACCCCACCGGAAACCTAGAGCTCCCTGAAAGAGAAGAGGCAATGCATAGGATCACCGCTGCCGTCATCTTCATCATCCTCATCATCATACTCTTCATCTTCGGATGAGGAACAGGAACCACCAACCGCGAAAGGGAAGAAGAAGAAGAGGACTCCTCCGAAGTCTCCATCGCCACCCCAACCAGCCACTTACACATCACCGGACCGAAGGAGCCAAATGGACTCGGCCCATGAGGAGCAGGGAGGCGAAGAATCATACAGCTGGGTGTCCACTACGTATGCGACCCTAGCTGCATCTGCCGGACGTTCATCACCCGTGCCTCATTCCAATCCATCGGGACTGCCACAGGATGATGGGCAGAGGCCATCAACCAGCTATGCCCAGCTGGCAGCAGCACCCGCAGTACCAAGGGCGAAGGTGGCGGAGGAGCCAACACCGGCTAAAGAAGCCGAGAAGGCAAGGTACCCGCCTATCATCGTTGAATGCCTCCCGAATTGGACGGGGCATTTCAAAATTCTCAATGAAAAATTAGGCCACGCCCCCAATGCCCGCCCATTCGGGAAGGGGGTACGATTCACGCCCCAGAGTCCTGAGTTCCGTATCATACAGAGATACATGAAGGAACTCTCCGAAGAAACACCAGACTTGTCCTGGTACTGCTTCACCCCAGAGGAGGAGAAGCCCACAAAGGTGGGCATCAGGGGGCTGCCAGTGGGAACGGACACCAAATCCATAGAGGAGGCTGTTAGGGCAAAGGGCTTCCCAATTTAATTTGTTAAGGCTATTCCACCGCGTAGAGGCAGACCGGGATGCCTCTACTTCGCCCAATTGGATCACCTGAGCCTGGAGAGTCTGAATTCACTACACCACATCGACGAGCTCCTCTATATGAGAGGAGTAGTCATCGAAACCTGGCAGAAAAGGACAGGACCAGCACAATGCCATCGTTGCCAGGCTTTCGGGCACAGTTCTGCCAACTGCTTCAGGCCAGTGAAGTGTGTTCGCTGTGCCGGGGAGCACATTGCGGCCCTTTGCCCTCGGGGTAGAGAGGAAGAGCCGACGTGCGCAAATTGCGCACAAAACCATACCGCGAATGATCGACGCTGTCCAGTCCTTAGGAGGGTTGCCAGGAGGCAGGGGATTACCCTGCCGGGACTACTCCTGGAGGACCTGAAGAAGAGTACCCAGAGTCGCCCAAGAGCAGTAACAATACAAGAAGACGGGTGGACCACTGTGACAGGAAAGGGAAGGCAATCAGCCCCTCCCCCCCCACCCGCAATACCAATGAAAACGGTGGAACCTACCGAAGTGAAGGCAACCACCGGGGCGACTCTACAACCCCCCGCTAATGACGCAATAGAGCGTCAGTCCTCCAAGAAAAGGAAGCGGGTGAGGAAAAGGAAAACTAAGGAGCAGCCCTTACCTCCTAAGGCTGTGACCTCTACCCCGACACCGCAAGTATCAACAGCCGCAAAGGCGCAGGTTACTAAGAGAGAAACCAGCGAGGGTAGAGCGCCGGAAAGGGCTCTACCGGAATGTAGAGCCAACTCTACACATAGAGCGCGATCTATCCAACGAGTCGAATCAAGTATGAAACCCAACGTCCCGAGGCCAGTACCAAGAAAAAGATTAACAGTTCCAGCACCATCAGCCGACTTCGAGACAGCTAATGCCATCCAAAGACTGGTAGGCATAGCTATCGAGGTCGGCACACAAGTCCTGGCAGACATAAGAGCCGGGGCTGACCTCATTACCGCCGTGATGAAGGCACTTGCAACCTTACTGGCCCGGCATTACGGAGGAGAGTAACAGTAACCTGCGCCTCCTCTACTGGAACCCGGATGGGATACAGCAGAAGATGCAAGAACTCCGCACAGTCGCTCAACAACAGGACATACAAGTGATCTTGCTGGGGGAGACGAAACTCAGACCATCAACGCATTTGAAGCTGCCGAACTACCACATCTACAGGAGGGACGAGGTCAATCTTCATGGGTCCGCCTATAGAGGCACGGCGGTCCTTGTGAGAAGTCCACCAAGAGCTAGACCTACCAGATTACAGATCAATGCGCTCCATCGGCATACAAATGGAGGCGGCAGGCAAGGAACTAAGGATTTACGCAGCATACCGCCCGCCAGGGACTTTACTTCACTCCTCAGACGTCCGGACGGTAATGGAAGGCACAACGCTCACCATCATCGCCGGGGACCTAAACGCCAAACACCCGGCGTGGGGGTCAAGATTGATCAACCCGCCGGGTCGTGCACTATACGAAGAAAACAACTACGACGTTTTAGGTCCCGAGGAACCATCACACGTCCCTACAGACACACGAAGAAGTCCGGACGTACTGGACATCGTGCTCTCTAGGAACGTCAACTACCCGATAGTGGTAGAGGTGCTGTAGGACATGGATACGCAGCACCTCGCGATACTAATTACCCTTGGCCTCAGGGCAGTGACTACGCCACCCAGAGCATTCAAGACTAGAGTAGACTGGGGGCTCCACCATCAACATCTGCAGGAGTGACCTCCAGTCTTTACACCAATCAATACAGCGGACGACGTAGAGGCCACTGCAACAAGAATAACCAACACTATCAAAGAAGCCCTCGACGCGGCCTCTACGGTCGCCCCGCTAACATCCAGAAGGGACGTCCTGCCGCGTAATATATGCGAGCAGATTAAACGCAAAAGAGCGCTTAGGAAGCTCTGGGCGAGCACTCGCTGCCCAAGACTGAATACCCAGTTAAACCGGATTTCAGATGAACTGTCGGTTGCAATCCAGGCCCACAGAGGAGAGGCATGGGAGCAGCGCATCGTGAAGACAGACGAGCAAGATGCGTCGCTCTACAAATTGAACCGGCAGTTGACTAAAAAACGTCCTGCCGTATGCCCGCTGACCAAAAGTGCGGGCGAACGGCGATATGATGCCGAGGGTAGAGCGGATATCCTAGTAGAGCACTTCGAGGAGCAATTTATGCCGAACCCAGCAAATGCGGAGTTCTTGGATCTTCATGCCCGGAAGGAGAGCCGCGTACAGGAGTTCCTGTCATCGTCCGCGCCCCCGCTTGCAGGAGAGTGGTACATCTCCCCCGCTGAACTGCGGAGGACAGTAGCCCGCCTGCAACCCAGGAA